TTTGTATATGTATGGTTTATATACATAGTCAAAACAAGCATAACTGTTATTAAGGAACTCTTGACAGTTAAAATGTGATCTATACTTAGTTAATAAGGTATCATATTTACCAAATTAAGTAGGTAGAAAAGTCAACGTAATTAATGCATTGCTATTTCTATCCATAATTTTATTTAATTATTTAATTTATTTGTCTTATATCCCATAAAATCGGTTTAAGAAAAAAATTTCATAACATCCGAAGTAAAAAACAAGTACGTAAAATTTTTACTGAATTAAAATGTGTTCTATAATAACATCGATTTAGTAAAAAAAAAATCCCATAAAATCGGTTAAGTAAAAAATTCTACGTAAAGTCTATCTATACTAAAAAAAAGGCAGATTCAAAATTTCTTATCTAATTCCTTCTTTCTTATCTATATTTTATACTTATATAAAGATTCATCCTATTTATTAAAATTAGTAGCAAAAAAATAGGTCAGCATTAAATGTAGCTCATAAATAGTAGTTTTATTATTTTTCTTATTTTTTTCTTTAAAAACCATACAATTTAATTTATAAATACGCTCTAATATAATCATACAATTTAATTAAAATAATAAATAAATATTAAATGGTGAACAAGAATAAGTAAAACTGTTACTTTCTCTTAAAACAAGAGATAAATTTATATGCTAAAATTAAGTTTTTATTAGTATAAATATTTTAGTGAGATAATATATTAATTATTTTACAAACTAGCCCTAACATGTTCATATTTAATGTTCTGGCTAAAAAGACAACGCTAGTTAAAAGATTTAGAAAAAACCTTATAACCCAATTATTTTTTAGACTTAACGTTGATTAAAAGAGGTAGAAAATAGATAAACCCTTTTACTTTTTAGACTTAAATGGACAAGACTGTGAGAACAACTCATTTAATATCTCTGTCAGCTGTGGAAAAAAGTTTATAACCCTATTGTTTTTTAGACTTAACGTTGATAAAATATGTAGAAAATAGATAATAACCCTATTACTTTTTAGACTTAAACGGACAAGACTGTGAAAATAAAATTTTATAACCCTATTGTTCTTTAGACTTAACGTTGATAAAATATGTAGAAAATAGATAATAACCTTATTACTTTTTAGACTTAAACAGACAAGGCTGTGAAAATAACTTATTTAATATCTATGTCCCATGCATCGCAAGGCGTACGTACTAGTTAGAGTTATATTCAGTATATTTTCGGTATATACTGCAGTTTCTACCACCTCGTGAAAACTATTCCCGTAATTCATTCACTTCCGTAATATATGCAAGATTTTTTTTTTCTAGTAACCAAAACAGAAATCACGCATTAGATAAGGGGATGATAACATAAATATTAACTGAATCTAAACATTAAAAAAAAAAAAAAA